CAAACACAAAGCCAACGTATATAGTAAAATGGGAAAGTGATATGGGAGTTGTGATAGATGATGAAAAACATAAGAAAATATATAGATTAACTCACGAAAATGTAAGTATGAGGGAGGTAGAGATAAATTATATGTGTTTAATAAGATGGCACATTACACCAAATGTAGAACATAAGATATGTGGAGAGAACTCACCGTGGTGTTGGAGGGGATGTGGAGAGATAGGTACGGTATACCATGTATGGTGGGGTGCCCAAAAATCCAAGTATTTTGGAGGACAATAATCTATCTGATAGGAATGATAACTGAAATCGATGTAGGGTTAGACCCAGAATTATGTACAGTGGGGCAAAAAAGTATTTAGTCAGCCACCAATTGTGCAAGTTCTCCCACTTAAAAAGATGAGAAAGGCCTGTAATTGGCATCATAGGTAGACCTCAACTATGAGAGACAAAATAAGAAAAAAAAATCCAGACAATCACATGGCTGATTTGGAAAGAATTTATTTGCAAATTATGGTGGAAAATAAGTATTTGGTCACCTACAAACAAGCAAGATTTCTGGCTCTCACAGATCTGTACCTTCTTTAAGAGGCTCCTCTGTCCTGCACTCATTACCTGTATCAATGGCACCTGTTTGAACTTGTTATCAGTATAAAAGACACCTGTCCACAACCTCAAACAGTCACACTCCAAACTCCACTATGGTGAAGACCAAAGAGCTGTCAAAGGACACCAGAAACAGAATTGTAGACCTGCACCAGGCTGGGAAGACTGAATCTGCAATAGGCAAGCAGCTTGGTGTGAACAAATCAACTGTGGGAGCAATAATTAGAAAATGGAAGACATACAAGTCCATACAAGAATCTCCCTCGATCTGGGGCTCCACGCAAGATCTCACACCGTGGGGTCAAAATGATAACAAGAACGGTGAGCAAAAATCCCAGGACCACATGGGGGGACCTAGTGAATGACCTGCAGAGAGCTGGGACCAACGTAACAAAAGCTACAATCAGTAACACACTACGCCGCCAGGGACTCAGCTCCTGCAGTGCCAGACGTGTCCCCCTGCTTAAGCCAGTACATGTCCGGGCCCGTCTGAAGTTTGCTGGAGAGCATTTGGATGATCCAGAAGAGGATTGGGAGAATGTCATATGGTCAGATGAAACCAAAATAGAACTGTTTTTGGTAGAAACACAACTTGTCATGTTTGGAGGAGAGAGAATGCTTAGTTGCATCCAAAGAACACCATACCTACTGTGAAGCATGGGGGTGGCAACATCATGCTTTGGGGCTGTTTCTCCACAAAGGAACCAGGACGACTGATCCATGTACAGGATACAATGAATGGGGCCATGTATGGTGAGATTTTGAGTGCAAACCTCTTCCATCAGTAAGGGCATTGAAGATGAAACATGGCTGGGTCTTCCAACATGACAATGATCCCAAACATACCGCCCAGGCAACGAAGGAGTGGCTTCGTAAGAAGCATTTCAAGGTCCTGGAGTGGCCTAGCCAGTCTCCAGATCTCAACCCCATAGAAAACCTTTGGAGGGAGTTGAAAGTCCGTGTTGCCCAGCGACAGCCCCAAAACATCTCTGCTCTAGAGGAGATCTGCATGGAGGAATGGGCCAACATACCAGCAACAGTGTGTGCCAACTTTGTGAAGACTTACAGGAAATGTTTGACCTCTATCATTGCCAACAAAGAATATATGACAAAGTATTGAGATGACCAAATACTTATTTTCCACCATAATTTGCAAATAAATTCTTTCCAAATCAGCCATTGTGATTGCCTGGATTTTTTTTCTCATTTGTCTCTCATAGTTGAGGTCAAACTATGATGCCAATTACAGGCCTCTCTCATCTTTTTAAGTGGGAGAACTTGCACAATTGGTGGCTGACTAAATACTTTTTTGCCCCACTGTATTTACTGCAACCTGTGACAATATATTGGATTTATTTACTACTAACCAGTCTGCTTTTTGATACTGAAATTTAGTTGTGTACAGGGTATCTATATTTGTGCTTCCAGTAGCAGTATAGTATCTATTTGCTTTAAACGCTATTTGCTTTAAACGCAGAGCTCTGAGGAAGGGGGGTTTAACTCCCGAAACGCGTCAGCTTATCCGCATCATTAGACACATTTGCATTGCGACTGTTTTTGTGGATCACCTATACTGCTCATTATCACGTTGGTTTGTGAGTATACATCCTTTTTATTTATTAAATTACGTTTTATACCATGGTAATGCACGATGAGAGTGTGCCCTTGTTTGTTTTTATATCTATCCTTTACTCGCAGCTTAATAACCTTCCAAATCCTAACATTCACACTTCTGTTTCTGGCTGGGAAAGAGACCTAAAATGTACCAAAGATAGGGGATATTGGTCACAAATTTGGACAACACTAAACTAAACTCTTGTTCAATTAATATCCTCACCATGGAATCCGCCTTTAAAACTGTCATGAGGTAATATCTAGTCCCATCCTGTCTAGCACATCTTCACTTTACCGCCCCCGGGATCTGTTTCAGGAGCTGTAACACTTCGGGAGACCATCTTCATATCTGGTGGACATGCCCTATGCTCTTCCAGTTTTGGACGAAGGTCATCAAACTTCTGAATTCCTTACTATCATGCTTCTTCCCAAGGGACCGGTTACATGTCCTCCTGCATTTGAAACCCCAGGGCTTAACTAAAAATCAATTCAAACTGGATACTTTTGTGTTACTGGTGGCAAAACAAACCATAGCAAAAACATGGAAACAACAGTTCATATCTTTCGTGGAAGTCAGAAGCCGCTTGGATTTTTTCTTTATCAATGAGAAGTTAACTAGCATTCTTTTGGATACGCATGACAAATTCCTTAAAATTTAGACCCCATGGATCCAACATGCCCATCCCGCTATGTCAGCCGTTAGTTACACATTATTATAACGCTGAGCCCTGAGGTTCGGGCTTGGGCACTTCTGATGTCCTTCTCCATTTCCTATTTTTCACTCGCCTCCCTCTTTTCTTCTCTTTCTTTCCTATTTTTTTTTTCTCTCCTTGTTTCTGGGCTCCACTGAAGGACTGATTGTTGAAATATGATCTGTTCCTGCTTACTTTTTTTGTATGTTTATTAAGTACCGTAGTTCACAAATCGCTACTTCACATACATACGCCTGCTTTTGCAATACAGATGTATGGACTTTTTCTTGGTACCCATATCGTGTTTTGTTTTGTTTTTTCTCTCTTGTTATAAAGTGATCGATGCACATCTGTCATGATGAATGTCTTGTTGTTTACCACGGTTCTTGTATATGTTTTTTACTGGTTCATGAGTCATTGACTTTGTTTTTCCATCAGCATATGGAGTAACGGTAACCATTGTATCTTTTGCAAAATTATTTCAATAAATACTTATTGAAAGTGAAACTTATTTTTAAAATAATATCATTGTAAAGCTTATAGGAGATTTTTATGATAAGATTTACATCTGCATTAAAAACTGGGGGAGAGGAGACTGATAAAATCCTCCCTCCTACCTGCAGCAGACTGATGACATCATTGCAGCCTAGGCAAAGTCACTGACTAGAGTTCTATCACTGAAGGATGTTTTTTTTCTTTTTTTTTGTAAGATAAAAGAGTTATGGTTGCTGGATATTTTGACATTAGCAACCATACTGTAAGGGTTGTTATAAAAACACACACACTTAGGTCTATATATACAGTATTTGGACACAGGCACAATTTTAGATTTTTTCAGGTATTTACCAACAAATGTTCAAATTATAGTTATATAATGGATATGGGCTGAAAGTGCACACTCTCAGGTTTAATTTGAGGTATGTACATCCAAATTGAAAGAAGGGTTTAGGAATTACAGCTCTTAAGAGTAGCCACCCCCCTTTTTTCAAGGGACCAAAAGTAATTGGATAAATGAATATAATCATAAATAAAATGTTAATATTTTGTTGAGAATCCTTTACTGGCAATGACTGCCTGAAGTCTGGAACCCATGTACATTACCAAAGACTGGGTTTCCTCTTTTCTGATGCTTTGCCAGGCTCTAACTGCAGCTGTCTTCAGTTGTTCTTTGTTTGTGGGTCTTTCTGCCTTTTTTAGTTTTTGCCTTCAGCAAGTGAAATGCATGCTCAGTTGGGTTGAGATCAGGTGATTGACTCGGCCATTACAGAGTATTCCACTTCTTCTCCTTCAAAAGCTCCTGGGTTGCTTTTGCAGTGTGTTTTGGATCATTGTCTATCTGTATTATGAAGCGCTGTCCAATCAACTTTGCTTCATTTGGCTGAATCTGGCATTACAGTATGGCCCTGATTTACTAATGTGCATAGACACATTTCTGTGGAATAAAGTCCACTTTTCCTTAGTCCGTCTACTTTTAGACGGCAAAGACCTTTACTAAAGAGAATCTAACAAGTAGACTCGAAAGCGAATTTACTAACTAGGCACAATACAGGAATCAGCCTAAAAAAGCAGACGTCCTAGAAACACATCTAGCAAAATGAAAAATCACTGTAGAAACATGTTCACATTGAAATGTGCTTTCCCAAATATCTGGAATTCACTTTAACTACTAGCCTACAGGGCACTTCTATCCCCTTCCTGCCCAGGCCAATTTCCAGCTTTCAGCGCTGTCACACTTTGAATGACAATTGGTGAGGTCATGCAACATTGTACCCATATGAAATTTTTATCATTTTTTTGAGACAGAGCTTTCTTTTGGTGGTATTTAATCACGTCCTGGGATTTTTATTTTTTCTTAAACAAACCAAAAACCACTGAAAATTTAGAGAAGTTTTTTCTTAGTTTTTGTTATACAATTTTGTAAATAAGTGATTTTTCTCCTGCACTGATGTGCGCTAATGAGGCTGCAGTGATGGGCACTGATAGGATGCACTCATGGGCACTGATGAGGAGGCACTGGTAGGTTGCACTGATGGGCATTGACAGGCATCACTGATGGGCACTGAAAGGCAGCACTGATACATGGCACTGATAGGTGGCACTGTTGGGCAGCACTGACTGGCACTGATTGGCATTGATGGGTGACATTGAAAGGCAGCTCAGATGGGCACTGATATGTGGCATTGATGTGCACTGGTATGCACATTGTGGCATTGATATGGCACTGATGGGCACTGGCACGTGGCACTGATGGGCACTGGCACTGATGAGCAGTGACAGGTGGCACTTCTGGGGCCACACTGATCATCAGTGCCCTGATGATCAGTGTACATGTCCCCTCCGCGGAAAGCCGATTACCGGCTCTCCTCTCAAGCTGTCAGCGTGACAGCTCGAGGGGAGAGAAATGCCGATACCCGGCATTTCCGTGTTTACATGTGATCAGCTGTGATTGGACACAGCTGATCACATGACCGAGCCGACATCTTCGGCTCTTTCTGTGATCCACTGTGTCCTTCACTCCCCGAGCCGCGCATGCGCAGTGAGAATGGTAGGACATCATATGATGTCCTATCAGAACGAGAGAACCACCTTGCACCCGTCATTGTACTATAGGGCGGGCGGAAGGTGGTTAAACAATATATTACATTTAAAAAAAATTTTTCAATGGGTAAAAGTGTTTAAGCGAATTCATGACAGTCAAGAACTAGACACTTTTCCAACGTCTATGCAGGGATAGAAATGAGCATGTGCAGGACACAATTTAGCTGTCTGCTGTGGGCGCTTTCTTTTTAGACACTGTTTAATAGTAAATCTCTGTGTGGCGTCCTCTGCAAGACAGCAATCAATCGTGTCTACTGTGTCAAACAGCACTATTTGTAGCTAGGCATATTTTTATGTATTCTAATTTGATTTCCTTAGTTCCATTGATTCTGTTTTTGTTTCTTATCCTTTTATAATTATTTCTGTAATGGTTTTACATATTTCGAAAGATCTAGATAATATATATGTTGACAGCTGAATCTAAAAATAAAGGTCGGCAATTAAAAAACAAAAAACAAAAACAAAAAAATGGCGTGGGGTCCCCCCTCCCATCCATACCATGTTGATGGGGACAAGGGCGTCTTCCCCACAACCCTGGCCCAGTGGTTGTGTGGGTCTGCGGGCGGGGGGCTTATCGGAATCTTAACAAGGGGGGCCCCCAGATCCCACCCTCCCATGTGAATGAGTATGGGGTACATGGTACCGCTACTCATTCGCAAAAAGTGTAATGTAAAGAAAGACAGGACACGGTCTTTGACAAGTCCTTTATTAAAATAAAAATCCAAAAGAATGTCCCACGAAGTAGATCTAACGTCAATCACGATGTAAGCCGCCGCCGACCCGAAAAAGGGAAAAAAAAGGTCCCGTTCCCGACACTGGCTCCGGTGGTGTGACAAGTCTTAAATATGTAAGGGGCGGGGCCACCCTGGGACATCACGCATGTGACCCCACCCCAGGTGACATCAATAATGTCACCTGGGGTGGGGTCACTTGGATGATGTCCCCGGGTGGCCCCGTCCCTTATATATTTAAGAACTGTCATACCACCGGAATAGTCAAATGGCAGGAGCCAGAGTCGGGAACGGGACTTTTTTTTTTTTTTTTTTTTTTTTTTTTTTTTTTTTTTTTTTTTTTTGGGTCGGTGGCGGCATAGATCGTGATTGACGTTGGATCTACTTCAGGGGTCATTCTTTTAGATTTTTCTTTTAATAAAGGACTTGTCAAAGACTGTATCCTGTCTTTTGTTTACACTACACTTTTTGTTTTTTTGTGAATGAGTAGTGGTAGCATGTACTCCATACTCATTCACATGGGGGGGCCGAGATGTGGGGGCCCCCTTATTATTTAATATGGTGCTGGTTTTTAAATGTAATTATCGCTTTTTTTTTTTCTTCACTATAGCTCAGAAATTCAGCTGTCACTTTCCCCCAGCTAAAGGAGAAAGTTTTCTTTGAGTTCATTTCCTTAAAGGAAATAATGTTTTTTCTTTTAGTTGCTTAAAAGAAACAAAGTGTCCTGTAACTTCGGGGAAAGTGACAGCTAATCTTTTGAACTATAGTGAAGAAAAAAAAGAAACCTGGCATTTGCATTTAAAATCAGCACCGACATACACTTCGCATTGCAAAAAAAATTATTTAAAAAAATTGTAAACCGAGGCATTATTTTCAATGGATTTTTATTCGTAAACCGAAAATTACTTTAACCGAGGCGTTTGTAAACCGAGGTTCACCTGTATTAGTATTGCAATCCTTTGTATTGGGATACGTAGAACCAACATACATTTGAGTTGGCAACATAGCACAATATTTGTGTCACATTTGAGATGTCTGGCTATTTACACTGCCCAGGGACTTAGGGTTGATTCACACCACAAAAATACAGGCTGGATAAGTGTCACAGCTAAGTTGATAAGTGGTTAGCACTGCTGCCTCACAGCACTAGGGTCGTTGGTTTGAATCCCAACCACGGCAATGAAGTTGCATGTTCTCCCTGGGCGGCTGCCCTAACATAGATGTGCTGGCAGCATCTTTGCTTTCTGTCTAAATGATCCCTAGAATGTGAATTAGAATGAGGCCTTGTCTGTTCAAACACCTTCAAAGCTGCACCTTATGTGAATGTCAAACAATGGGTGAGATAAGGGCCTGGACTAATGATTGATTTGATTTAATATTGCTGGTTTGCACTCCGCCCCTTTTTGGGAAGGGTTTGTCAAGCCACGAGCGAGTGAGAGAAAAGGATTTGGAGGGGAATCCCCACGCCCAAAATTTAATAAAATAATGGCGTGGAATCCCCCCTCCAAATCCATAAGAGACCCTTATCCGAGCATGCAGATACCGCATGCCTTCAAAGATTTATTTCCTTTGTTGAATTGCCTGCTTGGTTCACACTAGATGTGATTTAAAATTGCGCTTTTTGTTGGCAATTTCACTGTTTTCTGTAGATTTCCCAATGCGTTATTGCGTTTTTCAATTGTGTTTTTCATTGCAATTTCTATTGTAGTCTATATGTGAAATCGCTACAAAATGCAGAAAAAGACAAGAACTACTTTTGAAATTGTGCTGTAGCAAATCGCGTATGCTAAGACATGCACATTCACATTTATTAGATCCGATATCAAGTACGATTTCAATTCCCAAATTACAGCTGAAATTGCGCACCATGGATGCGGCTTGGCATGCGATTTGCACGCCCTGCGACTTGCAAATCACATGCCAAATTGCACCCGATGTGACCGGGGCTAACACCACAGTCACATCTAATCCGATGTGGAAATCGGGCAACTTACAATGAAGTCACACGATTTTAAAATCACATTACATCTGAACGAAGCCTATAGCGGACAATAGGTTGCAACTTGGCCTACGATTTGCAAGTCGCCTGGCACGCAAATCGCACCTGATGTGACTGGGGGCCACCCCGATCACATCAAAGTGGATTTTGAAGTGGTGCGACTTACACCACAGTCACATCAAGCCTAACTTTTAAAGCATGTGATTTACAGTGAAGTCGCATTATTTCAAAGTCGGGGAACATGCCGATTTCAAGTGCGATTTGCAAGACATCTGACACAGATCTCTCTGCAAATCGCACCAAAAGTAGTGTATTCATTACTTTATAAATCGTTGCGGCTCCGACCAAGTTTGAACCACACCAATATGAACGCTCTAATAGCGGTCACATTGAGTGTGACTTGGCATGCAATTTGCATGACATGTGACTTGCAAATCGTATGCCAAATCGCACCCTATTGTCCGCTATTAGAGAGGTCGCATGGGTGCGTTTCCGACACCGATTTCCAAAGTAGTACATGTACTACTTTTGTGGTGATTTGCATAGACATCTGTGTCAGATGTCTTTGCAAATCACAACGAAATCAGCAACTTCACTTTAAGCCACACGATTTCCAAATCGGCTTTGATGTGACCGGGGTGTAAGGTCTTTTTATGTTTGATTTCCTGAGTGTTTTTCCGATTTATGAGAAATCCCGCATACTAGCAAAAGTGAATTGATATTTTCAGTATTGCATACGAGATGTGGTCATGTGACTGCCTTAACTCATGCGATAATCTGGAGTGAATTGTTCCCATAGTGCCAATAAATGTTGCCATGGGGTTCCCCTTCACATCCCTTTTTTCTGTTGTATGCTGCACAGGTACACTTCACTGTTGCTTTCTTTCTGACAATGATTTGTGGGGCCTGTATACCAAGGGTAAACGCAGGTGCAATCACTTTCTCTGACCAAATGAATGACAGTGGTGGGTGTGGCCTTCATTGGGGTGGGGCCTTGTTTGGCGTACTCCAAATCCAACCTATGTTATATAAAGACCTGCAGCAGTGGGTGGTTTGTCCTGGTAATAGGCCAGGTTACTTTCAGCAAGTTCGTGCCTGTGGTGGTTTGGGGAGTAGGGTGGAAGAAGAAATATTGTGCTGAATTATATTATTAAGTATCCAGCACTAGCCTGCTCTCACTATAATACCCCACCAAGTCACTTCAACCGTCCTTCCCCTGAAGTACATATACAAATCAATTAATCATTAAGCACACTTGGTAACAAAAAACCTCAATATTCGTGTATAAAGTCCCAAAATAAGTCCCAAAATCTAAGTGTATAAAGTCCCAAAATAAGAATCCAAAAAAAATCAAAAAAATCACAATCCAAATAGTTCCCAAAGAGGTTATCTCTAAATCAATGCTTTCTTAAATCTTCGTATCTTGAAACCGCCTTTGTTAGGTGTACTCCAAAAATAAATCTTCATATACCTCAAAGAAAAAAACTCGACATAGTGCTTTATCCAAATAATATCCAAATTATAATAAAAGTGCCGCACGTGTTACATGCAAAAACACTCCCGTGCCACAGCAACCGTGAGAAAAAATACCTCCGCCTTACATGTTATTCACTGCACACAAATAACAGAAGTGCATAATTACCCTCAAGGTAGTAACACAAGCCATAGATGAGATTAATTCCAACCTTTTTCCTTCAGCCTTTCCCAACCACTTCCCATAGACCTCATAAATAGACCAGGGATCAGTGTATATAATAAATAGTCACAGTACTTTATTATAGCAACTTACATTAAAATAAGAAGAGATCAGCTTCCACACACAAAACGATTAATTCCACAATCGAGCCTCTCCTCAGTGGTGTTACAATATCCTCAGCATACCACTTTAGGGAAGGAATAAGTAATTGGTAATGAGTTCCCCACTACCCATACACCTGTATGGAGGATTCCAGGGCATACACAGCCGCGTGTTCCAAGAGCAAAGATGGCCGCCACAGCACTTCCAGAAGAGCGTCAGACGTGACGTCGAGTTTTTTTTCTTTGAGGTATATGAAGATTTATTTTTGGAGTACACCTAACAAAGGCGGTTTGAAGATACGAAGATTTAAGAAAGCATTGATTTAGAGATAACCT